CTCTATGAGGTGGATTGATTCAGTGTCTGGGGTAATCGGGATGAGTGTGTCAGAGTCAGTGCGATTGGCCCAGGACAGAGCAGAATTTAGGGCTGTTGTACATAGGGTCGCTATGAGTTGCAAATGACTCGACAGCACATAACAACAACAACCTTTATTATGCAGATGATATAACCTTGCTTGCTGTAAGTGAGGAGGGCTTGAAGCACTTGCTGAAGATCAGACTACAACTTTCAAGATGGACTGGATTTCAACATCAAGAAAACAAAAATTATCATTCCTGGATGGATAGGTAAGTAACATCATGACAGATGGAAAAAGGGCTGAAACTGTCAATGATTTCATCCTACTTGGATCCACAATCAATGCACTTAATACTAGAAGTCAGAAGATCAGGAGATGTATTGCACTGGCAAAGTCTGCAGTCAGGGACTTCTCCAAATTATTGAGGAGCAACAATGTTAGTTTATGGACTAAGGTGTGCCGGATTCAGGCCATAGTCTTTTCAATCACTTGCTATGCTGCAAAGAGCTGGACAATGAAAAAGAATGACAGAAAAATTGATGCTTTTAAGCTGTGGTTTAGAGAAGAGTACTGTATATCCCATGAACTTTCAAAAGAACAAAGTTATGTCTTGGAGATGGTGCATCCCAAGTGCTCCTTGGAGACAAGTATACACTTTCATCTCGCAAACTTTGGGCATGTTACTAGGAGAAGCTATTCCTTGGAGAGGGTTATCATCTGGAAAGGTGCAGGGTTGGCAAAAGTGAGGAAGACAATGAGATGGATTAATATAGTGACAATGAAATTTCTTTCTGAGCATTTCTTTTGTGACATCTCGTAAATTCTGATATGCTGTATTGTCATTGTCATTTAGCTAAAAAGATTTTTTATGTCCAAGATTTTTTCCCCTTTTATCCATGTGTTATCTAGATACGTGCTGTCAGATCTCCAAATATTCTGAGATTTTCTAGCCAGCTTTCTGATACTGATTTAATTTCATTGAAGTTTAAGATGATAGTTTATATGATTTCTGTTCTTTTAAATTTTTTATTAAGTTTGAAGAAATTCAATCAATGATTTAATATATTCCAAAAAAAGAAAGTACCAGGTCCAGATGGTTTCACTGATAAGTTTCTTAAGATAATTAAGGAAGGAATAATATAAAATCTCTACACTTTATGCTACAAGACAGAGAAGGAACACGTCTTCATTAATTCTATGAAACTAACATTATTCTAACAGTAAGAACAGATAAAGACATTATAAGAGAGGAAAATTACATATCAAAATTTCTTACAGACATAGTTGTATATTTTGTCTAAAAAATATTGTGAAATTAAATATGTTGTTGTTAATTGGCTTCAAGTTGAGCACGACTCATAGCGACACTCTGAACAAAACACCTGAAGTCCCTCTAGACCTATTGACATTTATCAGAGTTGACAGTTTCCAGAGGCATGTTATTTAGGAAGTGGATGCCACTCCTGTATGCATAAGAAGAGGTATCCACAATGACAGAGTGGATTTATTTAAAGTATGCAAGCTGATCAACATTTAAAAGGCAATTAATACAATGTACCATATTAAAACAGGCCAAACAGGACAGACAAGTCAATGGAAAAAGGAACATTTCCCTCCAACAATGGCATGGAAACAACTGGAATTAATATGACCCCCCAAAAGGAAAAATTTAAGAGACAGAACTTACAACTTTCATAAAAATTAACTCAAAATGACCATATCCTTAAATTATAAAACACAAAACTCTAAATCTCTTAGAATACAGGTAAAAAAATCTCGGTGAACTTAAGTATGGATGCTTTTTAGATACAATACCAAAAGCACGATCCATAAAAAAAATAATAAGATGATTATATTAAAATTAAAACTTCTCTAAAAAGGCACTACTAAGAAAAAGGATGAGACTCATGTATGAAGCAGTTGGATTCTGGAGGGTGGGTTCTCTTGATTTAGTTGAAATTTGGCTGTAAACTGGTCAAATTTTTTTTTTAAATTTCATTCACAATCTTATGTAAGCTGATTGGTCACCTGGATTTATTTAACAATCAGCTGCAGGCTGGAAGCCTCTTCTTTAGGTCAATCACGACTTGACAACACTTAATAACAACAACAACAAGAGAAAAGAAAACCAAATTAAGTATTTGTAAAACACAACTCCAATAAAGATATCATTTAAAATACACAAAGAATTCTTGAAATTAAGACATAATAGAAACACCCTAATAATCCTGCATTAAAACATACTCTTCTTGTTGTTGTTGTGTACCATTAAGTCAGAAGTGACCCATAGCTGACCCTCTGGCTGGCTTTCAGAGGTAGTTAACTGCACTGGAGGAGACTGCCCATCTTTCATCCATGGAGTAGCTGGTGGATTTGAACTGCATGCCTCTGGGATTGCAGCGCAGTTTCTTACCATTAGGCCACTAGAGCTCCCTATCCCAAATCCTCCATTGGATTGCTGAGGCTATACATCTTTGTAGGAGCAGACTGCCCACCTTTCTGTCATCAAGTGGCTGGAGGATTTGAACCAGTGATCTTTGGTTAACAATCTAACACCTAATGCACTGCACATCACAAATAACTGCACCCATAGGTATATTTGAATTGAAGAGAGATATATATGTCTTTGTAAACACTTGCACACAAGTGTTTGTTATTATTGGCTTCACTGCCAATAAGTCAGTTCTGACTCACAGTGATGCCTCCTCAGATTTCTGAGGCTGTAGGCTATAATCCTTTATAGGAAGAGACTTCCCATCTTTTTCTCTTGGAATACCTGGCAGATTCAAACTGCTGACCTTTCAGTTATCAGGCCAGCAAGTAATGCATCACATTACTGACTCAGAGACTCCATTTGTGCAGGGTAGAATCACTTCATATGGCTTTCAAGACTGTAGCCTTTCAGAAGTAGATCACTAGGTCAGTTTTATGAGCTCAAATCCTCAAACCTTTAAGCTAATAGTTAAGCTTTTAATTGTTTCAATCACCTAGGTTCACTTCATTCTCATGGCTACAGCAATTCCTAAGAAATTCATTACATCTGTTTTATCGAGGACATATAATTAAAGAAGTTCAATAACTTTGATTATATCATCTAAATCAAACTTGAATCTACCAAGTCCCAGACTCTTCCATTAATCTTGTGCTCTTTCTAATTCAAACCATCTGCTATCTAGCATTCAAGGCTTTGATCCAACTCCACAACTCTGTTTTTATAAAAAACTGTCCTCTCCATTTACCTAATTTGATCATTCAAATCTCGTTCTGTTAGGACCTTGGTCTACCTTGTGCCATCCCTACCATTCCTGAAACACTTGAGGTAGTGCTACCACTTTTGTCAACTCCTCTTTCAGGGGGTCTTCTTCCCTTTCACTGACCCTTTTTTACGTTTCCAAGCATAATGTCCTTGTCCAAGGACTGGCCACTCTGAACAACGCACCCAAAAAATATGAGACAGTTCCATCATCTTTGCCTCTAGGGAGTACTATGATTTCACTTTCTATAGGACAGACCTGTTTGTTCTCTTGGCAGTCCATGGGATATTCAGTACTCTTATCTAATACCACAATTCAAAAGCATCAGTAGTTCTTCTGTCACCCTTAGTCACTGTCCAACTTTCAGATGCACAGCAAGCAACTGAAGACCACTGCTTGGATCAAGGACAACTTAAGCTTCAAACTGACAGTGAATACTCTTTAGTATTCTTGAGATGTCCCTGACAGCAATGCAAATGTAATATTTGTTGTTAGGTGTTGCTGAGTCAAGGACAACTCATAATGATCCTATGAACAACAAATCTAAAGCCTGTACCCCATGCCATCCCTATCATCTTTGACACACGTGAGCTCATTGCCAGTCAATGTAACAATGTATCAGGGGAGGGGTGTCTTCCTCTCTTTTGCTGACACCTCACCTTTCTAAGCATGAAGTCCTTTACCAAGGAATAGCCTTTCCTAGCAACATGCCTCAAGTATGTGAGATGATGCTTTGCCATGCTTGCCTCCAAGAAGCAACTCTGGGTTGCACCTAAACTAAGACATATCTGTTCTTTTGGCCTAAGTCACAGAACAGACTCATAAACAAAAATGTAGATGCTGAGTTTACAAAGTTACTAAATATAACTATTTTCTTAGTTTCCAAAAGGAGTGAGGAGCACAACCAACTGTGTGATCTTGAACAAGTTATTTAACTTTTTCAAAATTAATCTTATTACATCTGCAAAACAGAAACAGACCAGTATACTCACCTCACAGAAATGCTGCAAGAATTAAATGAGATCATATATACGAAGTTCTTAGCACAAAGTTTGTTACAGAATAAGCAAATTGCTCCTTCTCTTCCTCATTATTTATAATGTCCTTAGTCTTTGTTGCCTTATCTACAACACTAAACACTTAGTTGTGAAAATGAAGTACATTCATTGCCTGGTAAGTAATGGATTAATGCAACCCAGAAAGAACTACAAGTTTCAGTGTCTGAGATGAGAGAAAAAGAAAGTTTCAGGAGCTGTATAATTGCACTGGGTTGAGGAAATATGGTAAGAATAATATGGGGATAATGAATACAAAGTTTCATGACAATGAAATAGATGCAGTCATTTTTTCCTCTAATAATGATTTCGCAGTGTTTCAAAGTAATGGTTTACAGTAATTATTAATGTAAAAGGTTAAACTTTTTTTAAAAAAACTTCATGGATTAGACTACCCTGCTTACAATAAAACAAAAACAACTTTAGTAGCAACTAGACACACAAGGACTTTGACCATTTGTTACTGGGACATTTCAGAATTACTTCAAAAGAGACTTACTAATTTACAGTTCCAAAGCAAAATCAAAATCTGAATTTGGATTTTGACACATGAATTAATAGGAGGTTCACTATTATGAAGCTTCACTCTGTCTTAATTCACATTCTTTCGAAAGAAATACAAGTAAGTGTACTAGACATAAGGAAATAAACATTTTGGTATCCTTACCTGTTGTGTTCCATCTGCACTTACAATAGGGGCAGATAGAAGAGAAATATCACTACTTAAAATCTGAGTTGTATCCAGTAGTGGTGGATGTTCTGCCATTATCAATAAGACATTTATATACCGGATAACCCTTCAACTCTGAAAAACAAAAATATATAGCCATTTGTGTGTATATCCTTAAAATATGTTCAAATATATTTTTAAGATCCATACCAATCTTTAATATAAAGAAATATTCTTGACAACGGAAATTCCACTGTACTGTTGACTAGCTTAAAAAAAACAACTCAATAGCCTATATATTGAGTGTATTCATTAATCAACTTATCCAATAATGAATACAGTTAACTAAGCTATATTAAAGCTTATGTATCAGAAGCCACTATTTAAATTTCACGTCCATGTCTTTATGTCTATACAAAATGTACAGAATGTAACGAGGGAGCTCCAGTAGTCCACAGAAGCTGAGCTGCTAACCCAAAGGCAGCACTTTTCTGGCAGTTTGAATCTAGCAGCAATTCCAACGGAGAAATATGGGCAATCTACTCCCTTGCCATCTCAGAATCTCAGTGGAGGCTCAGCCATATGTCTGTTTCAACTCAAGGGCAATGAGTTTTTAACTTTAAGCTGAACATGAGGACAGGCAATAAAATATAACACCTGAAAACAAACAAACAAAAACACTTGAGACAGTCTTGGAGGTGACTCGCTGTCTCCCATAGCTGTGTAATAAAGTGCATTTATGGCAACTGCAAAAAAAAAAAAACAACACAAAAAACCTTGAGGTAGGCAGTTCTATCACTGATTTTTTTATAAGTAAAGAAGGTTCTCAATTTCCTTCATAACTCCATTCTTCACTTCATCATCAATGAGTTTTAATTAACTTAGAGCTAACGCTCCAAGCAGATTTTCAGGAAGCTATAAATCACATAGGTGGAGACTGCCCACCTTTATCTCATGGAGCCACTAGTGGACTTGAGCCATTAGAGAAAAGCTGCCTTTAGGTTAGTAGCACAACTCCCTACAGACTATGCCATCTGAGACAGAACCCTGTCAGTACCTAGGAACTACAAAGGAACTGGGATTTTTCACCAGCTTCACTGTTTTACCAGGTAAAACAAAAGAAAAAAATGTACTTAGTCTTAGGATAAGAATCTTCACGTTTTAAGCCCTGACATTAGTAACTCTATTATTCTGATAGTATTTTCAGTATACTTTTCAAATCTTTTCAGGAATTAAAACATGTATATTTTAAAGTATTTAACTGAAGATACAGTGTCATGTAGAAAAAGTAAAAGACTTGATATAATCAATGTGAGACTAGCACCCAACACAAGGTCACCAAACTAAATAAGCACAACTGATCAAAACGGTTTCTTGTCAAATCCATACTGGAAGACAATTTTGGATGTTTGGAGCACTTTATGATTCTTCAGTAAATGTCAAGATGCTTAACTTTTAAATGTTATTAAAAATTACCATAATTTAGTTTTAAATCCTAAATCTTTGTAAAAGCTGACAGAAATGGGATTTAATCTGGAAATAATTTCCTACATAAATATGTAAGAACTAATAAAATAAAAAAACAAACACACACAAAACCCTACATTTAGCACAGGGATCTCCTTTAAGGCTATAAAGAGAATATTTCATATTATCATTCTCATAAAAATATTTTTACATGCATAATATGTTTACAAATACAACTTGATTTATATTGCTATATTTCTTAAAGTCTAATAAAAGTGATTTTAAAAGCATCAGATTTTCTTCTGTGAAATATAGAAGCATTAGAAGATAGGATAGAGGCAAAGGGATCTCTTCCTTCTTGTATGCCACATAATTAAGAAAAAACCTTTTCAGGAAGCCAAAGAAGGTCAGCAAAGGAGAGGGAGACCCTCAATGAGACAGACTGGGTGTGCACGGGGCAGGGATTGTAAAGACTGCACATGGCAGGGCAAAGTTTTGATTCGTTGTTCAAAGGATTACTGTGAGTTGTAGCAGTAACAACTCAGGATTAACCAATATTTTTTATGTAATTAATTTTTAAAAATGAGTAAGTAAAAAAATAATTAGTATGTACTTTTTATTTTGCTACTGAGTTATAGTTATTCTTTTTCTTAAGAGCATAATGCTTATAGTAGGGTTTTTCCAGTAGTTAAGCAAAATTAATATTGTTGTGGTTATGAGGTTGAATATGAACAAATTTATAGCTGACTTACTAGTGGGTTTTGAGAAGCTGTAAAATGAACTGAAGGAGACTGCCCACCTTTCTCTCACAAAGCAGCTGATGGACTGAAACTGCCTGTCTCTTACGAATAGAGGCGAAGAGATGGAAAACAGAATCCGTGAAACAGAAGACAGAATTGTCACCACATATCTGACCAAGAAAAAAGCAGAATCAAAAAAGAAGGAAACAGAAGAAAACTTAAGAATAATGTGGGATACCATTAAAAGAAATAACATCTGCATCATTGGAATCCCAGAATGGGAAGAAGCAAGTAAAGGCACTGAAAAAGTTGTGGAAGAATTACTAGAGGAAAACTTTCCAGGCATAATGAAGAAGGACAGAATATATATTCAAGAAGCTCAGCGAATGCTATATAAAATAGACCCTAAAAGAAAAACACCAAGGCGTATCATTGTCAAATATGCTAGAACCAAAGATAAGGAGAAAATACTAAAAGCAATGAGAGAGAAACAAAGAGTAACCTATAAGGGAAAACAGTTAAGATTAACTGCTGATTTCTCAGTGGAAACCATGCGAGCAAGAAGAGAGTGGAATGGCATATATCGAACTCTTAAAGAACACAACTTTTAACCAAGAATACTGTATCCTGCAAAACTGTCCATCAAGTATGAAGGAGAGATCAAAATATTCCCAGAAATACAGAACCTAACAGAGTTCATAAAAATAAGACCAGCCTTATAGGAAATACTGAGAGACATCCTTCATACAGAGATGCCACAGAAAACAGGATGGACTAAAGTAGCAACAACACCAAAAAGAACTGAACAAAATGACAGCAATAAAACCCTACCTCTCAATAATTACACTGAACGTGAATGGTTTAATGCACCACTAAAGAGAAAAAGAGTGGAAGATTGGACAAAAAACCAAAATCCATCAATATGTTGTCTACAAGAGACACATCTGAAAAACGAAGATAAAGA